CGACCAATCCGCGCCGCCGAATAGTCCGCATCGATCTACGATCGAACAGACTCACGATACTACGAACGCACTCACCGACAAGCGCTCCGTCTTGTACCAACCGTTGCGACACGATCGCCCGCGCTTGCGCTCTCGCCGACCGCACCAGGACGCCTCACGTCATACTACATACTTATTCCACCGTCGCCTCAAATAATTATTTCATTATTACGATACTTCGCATTTATTTTCACGTATACTTCGCATTTATTTTACGCCGCCTTAAATAATTATTTCACCGCCGCTCAAATAATTATTTCGCTTTTGCCGATATCTTGCATTTATTTTCACGTTGCTTTCGCTTCTACTTTGCGCCGCTTTAAAATAATTATTTCACCATTGCTTAAATAATTATTTCGCCTTTGCCGATATCTTGCATTTATTTTCACGTTGCTTTCGCTTTTATTTTGCGCCGCTTTAAAATAATTATTCCACCGTTGCTCAAATAATTATTTTACCAGTAACGATACTTCGCATTTATCTCACGCTACTTATATGTTCTTTCGAATTCGCTTCGCACACGCTTCACATGTACACACGAGCATTGAAGCAGATCATTCGAAACAAATCGTATTAACATGTTTCTCAATAAACGCTGTTTCATTATTTTGTTATAAACGAGCATTTGGTTTATTTGACATACCCCCAACCGACCGAACCTGGATTCCGGCGAGCTACTCCGCGTCCGCCGAAACTCACACGGTTTCAATATCACCAGTAATCATCGACCTGCGAGACTCTGAAGGCAGATGGTACCGACAAGTACATGTCAAGGACCTAAAACGAGCACCAAATGAAACAGAAACAGGCAAAGAATTAACCGAGTAAAAAATTTAGGAGCCAACGCCACTGTACCGCGGCCCCCCAGAGCCTACACCACTGTATTTAAAAAAAATATATAAAATAATATTAAAAATAACCGATACCGCGTAAATCCGAGCTTGATGAATCGTCGACGGTTGCCGGTGCGCTGCGTCCGGAGACAGAGAGAATCTTCTCTCTTACGAGGAATCTGGAAGTCGAACGTCGGGAACACCCGACCGAAGCAGAGAACGCCCTGCTTCTAGATCGACGGGATATAGGAAGTCGAACGCCGGGAACACCCAACCGAAGCAGAGAACGCTCTACTCCTAGAACGACGGAATGTCGGAAGTCAAACGCCGGGAACACCCGATCGAAGCAGAGAACGCCCTGCTCCTAGATCGACGGGATATAGGAAGTCGAACGCCAGGAAACCCGACCGAAGCACAGAACGTCCTGCTCCTAGATCGACGGGATATAGGAAGTCGAACGCCGGGAACACCGGACCGAAGCAGAACGTTCTGCTCCTAGAACGACGGACAGGATAGGAGCGAGTACGACCGGAGTTTCAGAGTGCGCCCTGAAGCTTGTCCGAGTCGTACTCGGGGGAATGGTGATGGTCTGCTCCGCGAGCCGGCTTTTATACCGGTCGCGCTACCCCCACTCGGGGTGCTACCCTGCCCGACAGCTACCCCTTCTCGAGCTACTACCCTCGAGTTGGGGGATCGGAATGCGGCCCGCGATGGGGGGTGTTTACGCGAAGCCTGATCGACGCTTAGTAACAGCGCGTACTGTTACAATCTAATCAAAACATATTTGCGAATAACTATGTCTCAAGAAAGATTGTGTTCTTTAGCTGTTTTATCAATAAAAAAACAACTGGCAACCACATTAGACTATCGATATTTAATCGGCAAATTTGAGAATATAAAGGCAAGAAAAATAAAATAAAATACAAAAAAATTAAATATTTTAAATAAAAAAAAAATAAAACAAAATAAAATAAGAAAACAACTTTAATATAATGGAAAGGCTCCATATGTTAACAAACGAGAAATATAATGAAATGGCGATAAGAGCCGTAGCAGGATGATAGTGCTAAATTTTAATTTTTCCTAAAGAAGTTAGTAAATTAGTCTACATGAGACAGTTAAATTGTACACCGATCTCAGATCGAGATACCTAACGTGTACGAAATTTAAAGTACATTGTTCTCATATATCGAGTAACTTAATGTTCGTATAGGAATTATTGGAAAGAAAGGAAGAGAGAAAAAATATCAGGGCGCGAGTGGCTAAGCCGGGAATTAAACCCCCGGGTCTGCCGCTTGCCGGGCAAATGTTCTGACCACTAAACTACTCAGACCCCACGTTTCTAACATTTTATCTCTCCTAGATTAGGAAATCAACAATGCTGTAGGACATAAACGCGTCATAATGCCCGCGTGATTTAAAACAACTTTGTAACAGCACGCGCTGTTACTAAGCGCCACACGGGCTTCACGCATACACCCCCCATTACGGGCCACATTCCAATCCCCCAACTCGAGGGTAGTAGCTCGAGAAGGGGTAGCTGCCGGGTAGGGTAGCACCCCAAGTGGGGGTAGGGCGACCGGTATAAAAGCCGGCTTGCGGAGCAGACCGATACCATTCCCCCGAGTACGACTCGGACAAGCCTAAGGGCGCACTCTGAAACTCCGGTCGTACTCGCTCCCATCCCGATAGTCGTTCTAGAAGCAGGGCGTTCTCTGCTTCGGTCGGGTGTTCCCGGCGTTCGACTTTCTATACTTCGTCGTTCTAGGGGCAGGGCGTTCTCTGCCTCGGTCGGGTGTTCCCAGCGTTCGACTTCCGACTTTCCGTCGTTCTAGGGGCAGGGCGTTCTCTGCCTCGGTCGGGTGTTCCCGGCGTTCGACTTCCGACCTCTCGTCGTTCTAGGAGCAGGGCGTTGTCTGCTTCGGTCGGGTGTTCCCGGCGTTCGACTTCCTATATCCCTCGCACGAGAGAAGACTCTCTCTGTCTTCGGACACAGCGTACCGGCAACCGTCGACGACTCAGCAGGGCTCGGATATACGCGGTATCGCTTATTTTTTAATATTTTGACTCCGTACCGTACGAACCGACCGACGATTAGTTTAAAATTAAATAATTTAAGTTGTTTATTATTCGGCCAAAGGCGCACCAACGATTTACGCAGTTTATTTATTATCCGATTAATTCCGATAGTTGTTCATTCGTTCACAGTTAAAATTATACCCATTTATACCGTTAAAACATTAAATCGTCTAACCGATAAGGAATTACTTATGTACTCATTGTTAAATGTTTATACCTTTCTTTTATAATTATATTATTGATCCAAATGCTCTCTTGAATAAATATTTATTTTGTTACTTTAATTTGTTTTTGTTAATTTGGAGTCTCCCGAAAAACCACACGAACGAATTCTGGCGAACCGGCGAGTTATTCCGCGTCGTAAGAATCCGCTTTGCTAACTACGCACCGTCGTAATTCCGCATCGTAAAAATCCGCTTTGCTACCTACGCACCGTCGAAATTCCGCATCGTTACGCACCGCCCGTGAGGCGTAAAAATACGCACCGTTACAACTTTAATATAATGGAAAGGCTCCATATGTTAACAAACGAGAAATATAATAAAATGGCGATAAGAGCCGTAGCAGGATGTTAGTGCTAAATTTTAATTTTTCTTAAAGAAATTAGTAAATTAGTCTACATAAGACAGTTAAATTATACACCGATCTCAGATCGAGATACCTAACGTGTACGAAATTTAAAGTACATTGTTCTCATATATCGAGAAACTTAATGTACGTATAGGAATTATTGAAAATAAAAAAAAATAAAAAAAAAACTTCATCGGCGTATCCCCAACCTTGCCGTGGTGATGAAGCTTGATTATTACCCCCTTCCCCCTTGCTGAAAACCGTGGACCCTGTATTAATCGATTGGCACATAGCCCCGCACTTTCTATGGCCGGCCCTGGTTCGTGATTTCGGCCTAAAATTTTCATGAACATTCTTGGTTTCTCCTTGGTTCAGCCTGCTATTTCTACGAACGTCCTCGTAATTTTGCCGAGCGTTCTCGGTTCAGATCCTACTCCCGCACGAGCCATTAAAATTGTCATAGTTTCTATGGTAATATTGTTTAGCCGCTGAGACGTCTCTATAGCAGTTTGTAAACAAACATTGTAAGATGTCAGATTTTCGGGAGCTGTCTGCTCGGACGGACGTATACGACAGCTCCGATCTTTCAATCTATTTCTCGGTTACTCGTTGTGTTCGTTTGAGTTACTGTTATTATTAAAGTGTTTTTTTTACTCTAATAAAGTGTTCCTTTATTCCGCGAGTTCCGTTTGATGTGTTTGATACCTCGTTCCGTGGGGGCAACAATATCTTATCTCTACGAAACGTTGTTAACAGTTTTTCTAGTTTTACTATATTTTGGATTTCGTGTGTTATATAGAAGTGAATAAGAATTTATGTCACTGCTTTCAATAACGACTTTATTTTTGATAATAATTTTTATTCTTCCACAAACAAAATATATTGCGCATATCACCATTTCACAAAATGACAATTATTTTAAAAAGCAGAAATAAAATGGAATTATGTTATAGTAATATTTCCTTAATACTTTATAAATAAAATTAAATAATGTAATTCATTGTTGAATAATCTCTACAGAGATGGTGTTGCTAATGAAATATTTCTTTCACAAAAAAATTCAGAAGCTTATAAAATTTCCCAACTAGATCACATACTGAACCCAGAAAACATTATGCGCGTAAATAGCAACTCATGTACAAAGATGGCTCATACTGGGCAAGCAAAACCGTATCCCAGTGCGTCGTCATAGCGATAGCAAAATGTTAACACACTTGCAAAACGTTTGCACTTACGAGCAATATACATGACTAAACATATCCCACGAGAAAAACTCAGGCAAACTCGTACACAGTTTATGTGCATAAGCAAACTTTGCGCACAAAAATTGTTATTTGGGAAGTTGAAGAGTTATGTGGAAAAGTGATTAAAAATAAAATTCTTGTAAATATAATACTTTGCAATATAATGCTTTTTGTTTGTCAAATGGCTCTCTACTTTTTTTTCTCTCATATATTTTTAATATGATCAATGTTTCAGTATCTTTCAACTATATTCTCTTATTTCACTACAATGCGAATAATGTTTGAAGGACAGTCAGATGTGTTATAAATAGAACAATATATTTTTGACGTCTTAAAAAAGAAAGATTTGATTAAAAAAAGGTAATCTGTATTAATGGAGATGTATAATATAAATGATATATTAAAATCATCTTAAAAAGAAATACTTTTGCTAACGTATTTAATAATATTACATATTTTGGATTTCTGTTTCCAGTGAGAAAAAGACGAAAATAGGAAAATACAAATAGTTTTTAGGAGGCATTTTTAGAGAGAAAAAGAACAGAAAACGTTGTTAAGTGGGTGTGGAACTATAATTAAGATGGGAACAGGTGGAAAAAATTAAGGTGTAAAGAAAAGTGAGAATAAATTTTTTGATTAATGATAACGCGCCTTTGATTTTCCTTCGCGTTAGCACTGCCAAAAGAAATTTTATTTGTAGCCGATGTAGTATGTGGAAAGCAAAAAATTGATTCATGTAATGAATATATCCAACGTTTACTAAAAAGATGCTTTCTTTGCATGGATCGGGCTTTCCTCAGTTACTTTCAAACTGCGCTGCGGAATTCGAGTAACCCGGTTGTCTTAGGATGCAGGATCCATGGAGAAGGTACATACATATAGTTAACGTTGTGTTTCGCGAATGATCCCGATTGTATCATGCGATGTGTTTACTTTTAATATTTAGATATAGTAGAAAATTTTCAAATAGATTAAAAATTATGAAATATAACATTTCGAGTCTTAACAGTTAAAAAGAAAATAGAATAGTTAAAATAGAAAAGTTAGGGCTCTTTTTTGTACGAAAATTAAGAAAAATGGCATTATCTATAAATCCATTTTACAAGGGGAACACCAGAGATTGCCCCCTCCGATTTCGCTGAATTTTATATATTGTAGAAGTACCTTCCCACTAATTCATCGATATGCAGCGTGATAGTCAGGCGCCTTACTCACTAAGCCACGCCGCTTAGCTGCCAATCTGTTTTTACTACATTACGCGCACATAAATCTTTAAATGTGTTTTTCTTGCGAATGCTTGAGAAGTGGGTCCTATTATTTTACGATAAATTAGTGGGAGGGTACTTCTACAACATATATAAAATTCAGTAAAATTGGAGAAAGCAATCTCTAGTGTTCCTCTTGTTAGAGTTGTATACAAATAAAAAAACACAATAAAGAAAGATGTCGAAGAGAAAATGACTGCCGTTTGTCGACAAACTATGTTGAAAAAGGCCGTGTAATCAGAGAAAGGTTTCACTAAAACCCAGTAAGCAAGAAACATTAAATCAACGTTCTAAAATATTAATTTTATGTAAATTTTTATAATGTTTAGATATAATGTTGTATACATATTTTAAATATATTTATAGGCGTATTGCCTAAGGATTGTGTTCGACTTGGTTGAAAGATATTGAGACCAATTTCTTAGAAAAATATATTTTATTTTTCCTCGTCAGAGAAGTAGAGTAATGTACAAGTTTTGTGTTTGATTTGATTAAGGGCGCCAGAGGCGCTTTCTCGGCAAGAGTGTAAGGCCGAGAATCAAAAGAAAAATTGACGGGCGCGGTAAGAAATTACCGGCCGCGTCTTAGTGTGTTGAACGGGTCCTAAAAAGGACGGTTCAACTGAGTTAGCT